CGGAAGGATGATTGTATTCAGAAAATTCTGCAACTCATAACTTCTTGTTTTCCACCTCCCAGACATATCTTCTGCGTCACTAACAGGACCCCCCATTCTGTCAACGACAAGGTTTGCAATCTTTTGAACAAGAAAACTTGTTTTTAGGCCAGCATAAAAAGCATGGCATTCCATAGCCATGAAGCACACTTTATCCTCAAGCAGCTGTAGTTCCATATCAACTACACGGTTGACCAAAACAGCTTCATAACCAACATTATCCGAAACAGACATTACTTCAAGATCAAGTAGCGATGGCAATTGTTCTTGGACGACCAAACTTGAGTTATTTCCAGAAACATCATAGAATCCATTGATCACTTTCTCATCATAATTTACAACACTACAGCTCTGCACCAACCAAAGAATAACACTAAATGAAATCATTAATTGCTTTAACTAATATCTAAATCTAATAACTTCGAGACAGCAGTTGACACTAATAACTTTGAGACAGAAGTTGACATTAACTTAAATCATGATTATAGTCCACTTTGTCGGCTTCCACATAATGTGGATATTTATCCTACTATTCTAATCTTACTAGGTTGATTTGTTGGTTTAATTGATATTTACGTTGAATGGAGGTAACCATCCCATTTTCTCACAAAGATGTACTATATTGTATAGATTGCACATAGGCTAAAATATTTATTTCAGTACATATGTGCCAATTATAAAGTGTACAAACACAAAACATAAATAAATAAATAATTTGTTAAATAAATTGAAATGCAAGTTTACCTTGACATTTGCATGTCAATCCAAACAACATTTATTGCAATTATATGCAAAACTATTTATTTATGCGTAAAAGTTCTATAACACCACCTGTTGTTAGTAAGAGAAAATGGCGCAAGTGCTTTAGAATCGTGCCAACTATTATAAATTACATGGACTCGCTAGAAATTTCAGTAAATATTGAAATGCTAGGCCAGCTTAACAGTGTAAATGATTAAAAAAATTATAATATAGTGCCATGTGCACTGAGTTGCCATCCCCCACCCCTTGTATAAGTTAATAGAGTGATGTAGATGTCCACAACAATTATAAGACTGCTTATCTAAATCCCAATTCCACCGACAGTTTGTAATTTAAAAAAAACCTTTAATACACCCCAATGAAGAAGTCAAACCAAAAATTAATTGCAAAATAATTTAGAGTAAAATTTTGTGAAAGCATATTGATTTCTCTCCTAAACATCTTTACCCCCATATTTAAGAAAATCTAGAAACCACAGTAAACAAGACATAGAAATCCAACAATTCCTTTAACTAGAAAAGATTATTACCTCACGGCTAAAATTAAATGAAACCCGTGCAAAATTAATTGGTAGATTCAGAAAAATGGAACAAAAAATAAACCTATAATTTAATGAGATTCGAGTAAAATTAATTGGTATATTCAACAGAAAAATAATAATAATAATGACTGAAAATTTTTGATAATTACCCAATAGCGGAGAGACAAAAATTCAGAGAGGCTCTGCGAGGGCGAGCAGCCGAGGCTAATCTGCTTGGCGGCATTTATCTGTGCGGTTTCCTGGTTACCATCATTTCGACCCTGATCCGAAACGCTGATTGCCAAGGCCAACTCCACCTGGAACTCCTCCTCAAAAAAATTAAAGCTATTGAAATTTTCGTTTTCCAAATCCGACGTCGTCTGAGGCAAATCAGTTGGTGATGATGACGAGGTCGACGCAGGTGATGGTTGAAACGACATCGTCTGAAGGGAGGAATCGAGTGCGGGCGGCCTATGATGATCGCAGATGTGAAACTTCCGTAGCAAGTGTTTCATCTTCGACATTTCTAACACTCATCGACCGAAAATCGAATTCAAATAAAATAATTATCAGAAAAATTGACTTCTTCTGATTGATAGATTAGGGTTTCTTAAGTACCGGTGGATGGAGAATTGAGGATTGAGGTTTAGGGTAATTAGGATAGGGTAAGGGTAGGGGTGCTACTCTTCGTCGTCAAGTAATCAAACCAGTAGAGCAGAAATTAACTGCTCCCCTGACTGCTTCTATATTTCCATGTATATACGCGTAGTCGCGTATAATGGATGGAAATTGGGCAGCTGGTTCCAAGATAATATTCCTCCGTCCCAATTATACCGACTTGTTTAATTTTTCACACGGATTAAAAAAATTCATTTATTGTCATTGAAAAATTAATATTTGTCAAGATTTTTCGTAATTTACCTCTATTTAATTTTGAATGTGTAAAACAAGATTATTGTTGAAATTGACAAAGAATTTAAATTTTCAAGAAGTTTGTATATGAAGTGGGGAAATTTTAATAAGGGTATATTAGTAAAAGAACACAA